GGTAGTGATGTTGGTGGAATTCTCAACATATGCATCATAAAATCTGATCACTGATCCAGTATACATTTGTTCTGGACATTGAGACATCTAGTATGAAAAGATGATTTTATCATTTATCTTTTTTTAATTAGCAGTGGATGCTTATTATACATAGATTTGGGATGTGAGTGAATGAAATGAACGAAAATATATTGGGATATTGCTGAAACTCTTATAGCCTTCCCTCAATAGGTATTTGTGGCACCCTTTCTTTTTTTCTAAATAAATTAGGGAAAACAACTTACTACTTGGGGGGGGGGACCTTGAAAGTTTTAAAAGCAAATGCTTACTCTGTGGGAGTTACTTGAATATCCTGAGACATATTCTTGAATCAGTGTTTTATAAAAACCAGCAACATAAGTCTTTATTTGTGCTTAATGAATATGAGGGATGATTATTAGCCATGGTGACACAGTGGTTAGAATGCAGTACTGCAAGCTAATTCACTGCGAATTGCAGGAGTTTGATTCTGAATGTTGATTCTCAAGGTTGTCTCAGCCTTCCAACCTTCCGAGGCCAGTAAAATGAAGACACAGATTGTTGGGGGCAATATGCTGACTTTGTAAACGACTTAACAAAGGCTGTAAAGTACTATGAAGCGGTATATAAGTCTGCTATTGCTCTTATCATTAGGTGCAGAATAATAGAGTTGGAAGGGACCTTGGAGGTCTTTTAATCCAATCCCCTACTCAGGCAGGAAATCCTATACCATTTCAAACAAATGGTTATCCAATCTCTTCTTAACAAACTTCAGTGATGGAGAACCCACAACATTTGAAGGCCAGCTATTCCATTGATTAATTGTTCTAACTATCAGGAAATTTCTCTTTAGTTCTAGGTTGGTTCTCTCCTTGATTAGTTTCCATCCATTATTTCTTGTTCTGCCTTCATGTGCTTTGGAAAATATGTGCCTCCTCCTCTTTGTGGCAGCCTCTTAGATATTGGAACACTGCTGTCATGTCACCCCAGTCCTTCTTTTCATTAAACTAGAGATACCCTATTCTTGCAACCATTCTTCATATGTTTTAGCCTCCAGTTCCCTAATCATCTTTGTTGCTCTTCTCTGCACTCTTTCTAGAAACTCAATATATTTTTATATTGGGGTGACCAAAACTAGATTCAGTATTTTAAGTGTGGCCTTACCAAGGCATTATAAAGTGGTATTAAGACTTTATGTGATCTTGATTCTATACTTCTGTTAATGCCATCAATTCACTGTCTACATGTGACCATATAGTAGACTTTATCCACAATGACTTGTCCCTAACCTGGTCTTTCAGCTTTTCCTAGAGGGCCCCTATTGTAACTGTCTATCCACCTTGCTGCTGATCATCCTTTTCTTCTCCTTCTTCCCACTTTCCCCAGCATTAAAACCTTTTCTAGGAAGCTCTATATTTGCATATAGTGTCCAAAGTAGGATCGTTTGAGTGTGGTGATTTGTGCCTGAAGTAAGAATTCTGAGACAATTCTGCAGTGATTTATTTATTTGTATTCTTGGTTGTTCATGATATGACCCAACAAGACAGACACAGACTTCAGAGGATAATTAGAACTGCAAAAAATAAAATAATAATAATAATAATAATAATAATAATAATAATAATAATAATAATAATAATAAATACTACCAACCTGCCTTCCATTGAGGACCTGTTTACTGCACGAGTCAAAAAGAGGGCTGTAAAGATATTTACAGATCCCTCGCATCCTGGACATAAACTGTTTCAACTCCTACCCTCAAAATGAAGCTATAGAGCACTGCACACCAAAAGAACTAGACACAAGAACAGTTTTTCCCCAAAATGCCATCACTCTGCTAAACAAATAATTCCCTCAACACTGTCAAACTATTCACTTAGTCTGCATTACTATTACTATTAGTCTTCTCATCATTCCTATCACCCATCTCCTCCCACTTATGACTGTATGACTGTAACTTTATTGCTTGTATCCTTACAATTTATATTGATTGTTTCCTAGTATGATTTGATTGCTTTTTTGTACCCTATGACTATTATTAAGTGTTGTACCTTATGATTCTTGATTAATGTATCTTGTCTTTTTATGTACACTGAGAGCATATGCTCCTTGTGTGTCAAGTCACACTTGGCCAATAAAGAATTCTATTCTATATTCTTTGGAGTCGTTTCTAGTGCAAAAGCTCAGAAATGTCAACCTCCTTCCTCTCTTGCTTCTTCATACTTCAAATTTTGCTCCTCTATGAACAACATGGCTTTCCTGATTCTGATCTTTGTAGGTATAGACATACCATGGCATTTGAATACAATTTCCAAGACCTTCCTGGTTGCTCTACTAAGTGCTAGTCTGCAACATATTCCTTGACTGCTTTTCCTTTAGTGTTGATGGTTGATCTGAAAAGGCAGAAGTTGCCTATTACCACAATATCTTCATTCATTTCTAATTTAAACTGACACTGATATGATTTCAAATGGCCTGTATTAAAATCCAGAAAGAAAAGGCTTCGATCATATTCTTTATTCAGGGATGTACTGTATTTTGCTAGAGAAAAAGAAAGAAACTCCTAAAGAAGCTTTTACCGTATTTATTATCTATTGAAAAATATTAATTTGCTACTCTGTTGAAATTTACAGTGTCCGTATCCTCTCTTAGAATTATTGTTTTATTACTACCCTAATTACCTGCTGACTCCAGGTACAGCCATGTCCATTATTCAGATTTTCTGTCTTTCTAATCGGCAATTGTTAAGTCTGGGGTGGTATGTGGCAGGTACTAGTTTAACCATATTTTAAGAAAGCTTCTAGGCACATAAATTAAAAGGTATTATGATTATAGCCTAGGACTTTTTTTTTTAAATGAGCAATTATTGAGAAAAAGAAAAAAAACAAGGTGATACAAGGTTAAGGAAATGTGCTGTGCCATCAGGAATATTTCATTCACAAATTAGTATACATGGTTTATCTCAAGACAGACCATACTAGAAGGCTAGTAAGAAAGAGTAGACAACTTTTCCAGTTCACCTTCTGCTAATTGTTTTTTTTTTAATTGTTTTGACCAGCAGCAATTTTTATCAGAATGCAGAGTGTCAATTCCATGCATTGTGATTTCTACATTGCATAACCATTTGTTATGTGTAAAATAAGGTTCAGTTTTGAACCCTTTGCTAAGCATGATATTTATTCCCAAGCATGCTTTATTTACACTATTGCCCTTCTTATTCATCAATTAACCTTCAACTCCATGTTCAAGGAAAACATTCCATGATTCAAGCCTATTCAGTTTATTGATTTATTACTCTAAATCAACAAGCATTTGGAACTTTCTTCCAATTGTGCATTCATTTTTGGGGACAAATAGTAAAGTTAATGATCTCTCCAGTCTTAATGTCATTGCATCCTCCAAGGTAATGTGGTTTGATGATTGAAGTGTCAGCCATACTTCTGCCTGAATAATTTTTGGCTATGGCTATCATGACAACTGTCAACCTTGAAGTTGGCCGAACTGTGGCCATTTTCCTTTTTGTAGTTCTGAGATAGCTGGGGTGTTGTAGCCTAAATATTTCCCCCCCCCCCTGGAAATCAGAGATGTTGGTGCAGGTGTTCAAAAGGTGGAGACTGAGGTCATCTAGCAACTGTACTGTATACCAGCATACTGCACTGTATGCTGATTGGACCATGTGACTGGAGACTCTGAGGGGAAATGACAAAGTTTTACTTTTAATTGGGCAAAAAACCAGGGATCATGCCAATTTGATATGTCCCAATAAAATGTTCTTTAGGAATTTGCCTGCCTCCAAGTTCTTATTAAGTGGGATGTGTAACTTGGAACTCTGACAACAACACTGTTTGAAGATCCTTAATACTTCAGATAAACTTCCTAAAAATGGAGGAGTAGATCTACAGTAAGAATGGTGTGGGTTCAAATATGGTATCCCTATTCAAGGATGGAAATTTATTCCATCTGGAATTTAAGGTTCATAATCAAAAATCTAATGCACCTATCACAGATAAAGCACAACAAGATTTATCAAGTGTTTATTGAAAATGTGAAATCACCTTAACATCCCCCTCAGGTATGATATAAATACAAATTGATTCATTTCTTTTTATGCACACAGAGTTATATCAGAGAAAGTTTAATCTTCAAATGAAAGTCATTATGTGAAACATTTTAAAAATAACATAACAATCATTTATTTCTTATAGTAATTGCAGAAGTTAAAAGATGATATTGCTTTTGTATAATATATTGTATCAAATTATATCTGCTTTTTATTATTTGAGCATGAATATCTTTCATTGGTTTGTATAAATCCGGTAAACTTGCATGAATAAATGGGGATACAATTAAATCGGGATATAGTTAAATACAAAAATTCTGTAACTTTTATTATTAATGTGTAATATAATTCTTGCCTCTAGCACTTTCTTTTATTATTAATTAATAAAATGTTATTAAAATGGTAACAACTCTAGATTTAAATCATGATATTGGCCTAAAGTGAGCACTGTATTTCCAGAAACTTCATGATAGCATGGGTAAAATATTGTCCATGTCTTCCATGAATTTTCTCTTAGAAGAATGATTCATTTATCTAATTAAAACAGAAGAGTTTTAAAAAAACTCAACTTCTATATAATATAAAAGCCCAGGTTGCACAGGGGTTACAATGCAGTATTACAGACTAATTCTGTCCACAGTCTAGAGTTCAATCCTGACAGGCTTGAGGTTGACTCAGCTTTCAATCCTACCTAAATCAGTAAAATGAAGACCCAGATAGCTGGGGGCAATAGCTGACTCTGTAAACCACTTAGAGAGTACCATACAGTGTTATGAAGCAGTATATAAGTCTAGGTGCTATTGTTAGTCCTATATAATAAACACTGTTATAGTCTGTCTGAACATTGGTTTGATTGATAAAGAAAAGAAACTTGTAGTCATTTTAAGTAAATTTGGATTTGTTTTTGTTTTTTTCATTCTAGGTTATTCAAATTAATTTTGAAGAATTTGACCTGGAAATTGGCTATGACACACTAACAATTGGGGATGGAGGTGAAGTAGGTGATCCTAGAACTGTGCTCCAAGTGTAAGTCTCCATAATCTCTATCCTGATGAAATAATGGTTTGTTGACATCTCACCAAAGACTTAAAAAAAAAAAAAAAGAGCAGTCCTCCTATTCACATGGCTTTTAAATGTTAATATAATTTCACATTCACATGACAATGTATAGCAAAACAAAATAAGTTAACAGTAAAATAAAGAGATCACATTATCTTTCTGTTGGCTGTGGATCCTAACATCATTCATTTTATTATGATCATGTGAGCAGAGAGCACAGAAGCAATGCCCTTTAATTATAAAATACTTTACAGGCATACGCATGTATTATTCCTCAATTTTAAACTAACAAAAAACATAAAATAACACTATAATCTCTGGGGTCCTTGGTGCTCTCTGAGGTTGGTTGCAGACATTTTATTACCGAACTAAGTAACATCATCAGTGCTAGTGCAATCTCTCTGACCTATGAAATTCAATTACAGCACATATTCCAATACAAAATAGCATAGCTCAATACACCTTAAGTTAGCTATACCTTATCTTGGAGAACACCCTGAATTAGTTATATAGAGCCTAGGACAACTTGCCATGGCTGACTTGCCACTGCCAACTCAATGCAGGACAACTGGACATGACCAATTTGCAGTGGGACAACTGACTATCGGACAATTCAAAGCGGGATAACTCAATGCGAAATAATTGTATTGTTATCCACCACTGTTTCTTTGACATTATTTTAATATTTTTCATTCATACTTAATTTGTCCTTCCTTTAGCATCTTTTCTTTAACAATTCTATTCCATAGCAAGTTGTCCCATTCCGAACCCTGTAGAAAATTGTACTCCTTTTAACAAAGTTTAACTAATACACACCAATCCTGAATTTTGCACAGTAAAAATGGATGACATTTTGCTTTCTGGAGCTGTTTCTACTTGGACAGTAAAACCTGACAGCATAATTTTACTGGGGCAACAATCTTATTCCCATAAAATTATAGTGTATGGACTTGAATATTGATTTATAAAAATAAATATTTTAAAATCTTCGGATAATATAAAAGAAATTATTGGGGCTATAAAAGTTGCTGGGATATGAGCCAGAATCTTAGACTCTGTTATGAGAACAATATCATATGAAGAGTCAATGTACCCCAGTTCTCATCAGTTAAACAATGTCATCTTGCAGGATCCAGAAAGCATGCCTTGCCTGCTACAGCAGGAATGATGACCGCCAGGGGTTTATTTGTGACATTTAGGAAACTGTTAAAAGTCTGACTATTTTCCCAAGCCTAGGGATATAGGCTAGAATGAGTCCTTTCATTCTTCTTCTTCTTTTTTTTTTTTTTCTCTGCTGCTTAATCTTGTATTTCTATTCAGCTAGGGCTCTTTTTTTTTCTCTTCTATTTCCATTTTCTGCTTTATTTATAAACCTGCTCAGAGTTGTCAAGACGTTGGGCAGCCTCTTAAGTTTGGGAATTAAATTAAATTAACATTTTAATAATATAATAATAATTTGATTTGTTTTCTAAAGAATCTCATTTTTCAAAAGATATGCACACATATTCTTTAAAAATGCACATTGTTCTTCTACAATTATGTCCAGTGTCCACTGTTCTGTGTTCCAAACTCTTGTCTACTTTGTTTTAATTATTTTTGTTAAATGCAAAGAAGAATTATAATATTTCCCTATCCATCTCATATAAATGCACCACATATATATTAATGAATAAAAACAGTTCATTCCTATTTCTCACTTTCATGCAGGGGACTGAAGGCCAAATATGGCTTTTTCAGGCTCGTGCCTCGGCATACATATTTTCCAATGAGACAAACCAACGAGACAGGAAGATCATTTTATTACAATTTATCAGAATATTCAGACAAAAGGGATTCCTCTCACTCAAGGAGGGAACCCCAATCTTTAGCTTAAAGGTAAAGGTAAAGGTTCCCCTTGCACATATGTGCTAGTCGTTCCTGACTCTGTTTCAAAGCCGAAGAGCCAGCGCTGTCTGAAGACATCTCCGTGGTCATGTGGATGGCATGACTAAATGCCAAAGGCACACGGAACGCTGTTACCTTCCCACCAAAGTGGTCCCTATTTTTCTACTTGCATTTTTTACATGCTTTCAAGTTACGTGATAGCTAACTGCTAGGTTAGCAGAAGCTGGGACAAGTAACAGGAGTTCGCTCTGTTACGCGACGCTAGGGATTCGAACCGCTGAACTGCCGACCTTTCTCATTGGCAAGCTCATTGTCTTAGCCACTGAGCCACCACGTCCCCTTTAGCTTTAGTTTATCTTTATCCCCTTTATCCTTAGTTTACATCCCTTTTTATAGTTTACATAACAAAGAAATCTGAAAGAGGAAAGTTGATAATAGCATACATGTTTATTAAAATGAGGTCTGAAGTCTGAAGGGGAATAAATTGTAAGGAGAAAAGTTGTTTAGGGTTCACAAAAGAGATAAACCAGACCCCAATTTGTACTAACAAACTTTTGTTATCTGGAGCTAGTCTCCAGCTTGTTTATCAGTTTAGGAATGTTAAAAGCTAATAAATCTGAACATCACTTTAAAAGAGAGAATATAAATGAGATTAAAATGCAAAGTAACTATGTTAGTTAACAAATTACAAAACCCATGTCCTTTGCCCCTCAGAACAGTCATAATATCTCATTTTTGCCAAGACCTGGGAATCACAGAAAGCAGAGACAGCTTAGCTTTGAGAATCCATGTTATATAGTTTCTTAATAAGCAAAGTTCACCTGGGTGAAAGATCATATTGAGGCCTTGTCTATTTCTGTCACATCAGTCAAAATCCATGGATTTTCTGGAATTTCCCTATAGCAGGTAATAAGCCTGAACAAGGATAAGATTTAAAGGCAACCGCGACTTATTCTAATTTCTACACTTCATTCAGTGAGTTGATCTGAGTGGTGTGGTGCCCTAGACGTGGAAGTCTGTGAGGTCAGGAGACTGTGAGTTCAATCCTAGGTACTGGCAGATATTTCTCTCTCTGGGTGCAGACAGAAAATATTTGCTGTGAACTCTGCATAGGCATCAGGAAGGGCATCTAGCCAGTAAACAATCAGTTCCATTTGCCCTGATTCCATCCCGATGCAAGGGATTACAGGGTCACTAAAAGAAAAAAACAAAATTCAATGAGTTAATGTAGCTATTATACATTGTTGCTGTATTTTTCTGCTTGATAATTCATCCCATCTTCTCAAAGATTGAAGAAGAGCCATGACCTCTTGATGAGGAGATAAAAGAGGGAATGTTGAAAATATTTCTTGAGGAAAGGATTTTAAATTTCACCATCAACTAAGATTTTCTCAAAACAATGTGTGATTTTAGAATGGATCAATGTTTATGTTATCTAGTCTTCAGGTTTATATTTATATTAAACCCCTTACTTACTTGTATTTCCAACAAATGTTTTCATAAAAATTTCTTCTCTTCTGAGATAATAACAAGAATCAGTACATCTTAAATACAGATATAATATTCAGGCTTTGCTTGTATAGATCTAACCATATTTCTTCTAAATATCATGCACATTAGAAGGATGTGAAGTTGCATATCTGACTCGCAGAATCAATTCACACATTTTTGGGTTCTTATTCCCTTGTTTATTGCATAAAACTTTTTTTTCTTTCCTATTGCTGTTAAATTCTTAAACAATCCTGTTGATAATAGGAAAAGATAAAATCAAATAAATTTTATCTTTTCCTACTGTCTAGTGTTATTTATTGTGTTACTGAAATATATGTATATGATTGTACAATAATCATCTTTTTTTCATGTAGTTTTCATGAACATTTTTGAAATTTAGATTCTAATTGATGTTAGAGAAGTATCATTCATCTCTTATTAATGATATCATCCTTCGATAGAGATGTGTCTAAGGATCTGTGAGTTGAATAGAAATCATGATATTGAACAAGGAGCATGACTCACATGGTTAAGATGCTGGGATGGAAAATACAATCGAGATATGAAAAATATGCAAAGTTATATGGTTTTTATTTGGAGGTGACAGAATTGGGTGAGATACTCACAGGAACAGATGAGAAAATGATTAAAAAATTCTATAGTTATTTACTTGGAGTTAAATTAGAGGAAGAAGTAAAAGAAACAATGATAGCATGGGCAAAAGAAATTGGATACACAATAGAATTAGATAAATGGCAGCAATTATGGAAAAGAAATTACAAATTAACAATGGCTACAGCATATAAAGAGAATTTGTATAAAATGTTTTATAGCTGTAACCGGAAAGATTGGCAAAAATTTTCAAAGATAAATCAAGATGCTGGGATGGAGGTTAGCAAGCCCATGTTTGAGACTTGAGTCTCTGTCCTTTGTCCAGTTCCTGCTGGGGACATGATAAGAGTTCCCAATGGGGTATCCCCCAGGCAACAGTAATGTCATCAGCTAATCTTTTCAATCCGGAAGTACCTTGGTGCTTCTGACACAGGTGCAAAAAAAAATGACATTGAGCTTCAATCTGATTTCATGTCATGATAGTCTTTAAATTCATCTAATACAGTTTTAGTTTTATAATTTCCTAATATTCGACCTTGCATACTTACTGATTTCTCTGCTCTCTAACTTCTCAATCTCCCTTAGATAAATATGTGTAATTTTTCTCTGCATGTCTAGTCTAGTTTAAGATGCTAATGTTTTGTAGCAGCCAGTTCAAAGCAAGACATCATTTAACAAGACTGATGAAATTACACTGATTTGTTATGAATGCAAATGAATGTTCTATCTCCCCCCTCCCCTTATCAGAGTATTATTCAGAGCGTTGTTAGTTTCATGGTAAAGTTACCACTATATTATAACAAAAAAGATATAGTAGACAAAAATGTGTAGATAATTTGCTGATTTTTTCCCCAATTTGTAGTACTGTCAAGCTGAGCGTAACTGTCTCAAAGTTATTTCATGTTCCAATTGCATTTTTAATCTGTTTTGCAAGATTTATTCATTTATATATATCTTTTTAATATGCCTGTGAATTCAGGCAAACATAATAGAGACTCTTTGGGGATACATTTTGATGTATTTTCTGTAGAAAGTAAAATAAGGTTCAATTTTGTTGTAAGAAGAGGTTGGATTACTGCTATTGAGAAGCTGGAAGTGAATCTAGGAAGTTCTAGGACCTTCTCAAATTTTTGGTCTTTTGAAATCCAGTGAAATGCCCAGTTAAATGATCACTAAGAGCATTTATTTTTAGTAATTAATAAAACCCCTGAAACAATATTTTTATATGGCTTTAAACATCCTCAGGACTGATTGCTAAAAATTCAAACCAAGAAATTATCCAAATTTTAAATTTTAAAGTGTGTTTTAAGAGTGGAAAGAGGAGAAAATATTCTAAAATAAATAATAAGACATATGTCCTTCCTTCCTTCCTTCCTTCCTTCCTTCCTTCCTTCCTTCCTTCCTTCCTCAGTTCTTCTGGGTTTTTTTAAGGGTATCTAAACATATTTCAGGTTTTGCACTCCAACTTTTAAATATTTCCTGCCAAAAATTGTCATAAATGCGGTCAGAATAGACCTGGAAGCTGAAAGGGAAAAGTCTGAAGAGTGAATAAGGTCTCAAGTGCTTGTTCCTGTCTAAACTGATTCAAGTTTGGCAAATTCAGTAGAATCTAGCTCTAGATACACTATATCAAAAAGCATTCCACTTTTTGGATAGTTATGAGAATACTTGATATTACGAGAATAAGAACTACCCAAATTCACTAGCAGGGACAGTAAGATAATAGACTTTTCCTGAGGGAAAAGACATCAATTATCACGCTCAGCATGTTTAAACATGTTTTTCGGCTGACAAAAAGAAAAACTGAAGAGAGATCAAATTGTACGATAATACCTGAATGATTCAAAGATCAAGATTGCTGGAGGCCAAAGTTGGTTTATTTAATCAAGATTGAACTAAGATATATTTCCACAACATACTGGAAACTGTTATGGACTTTTTACTGATGCCCAGATTGAAATGTTAATGATTTATAGATTTGCATATGGATAAAGGATAGGTTATGGGAAGAAAAGATACTTGCATGTAGTTTCATAGGAATAAAGCATTACTAAGTTTGTATATGTGATGAAGATCAGAAGTCACTTTACTGCATCATAGTAATGTGATAGCATTGCATTGTTTTTAGAAAGTCCAACAGAATGTTTTCATATCAATTAAACACATAGCTTTAGCTCTTAGACAATGGTATACAAGTTGCAATTATTGGGTTCAAAAGGCATGCTAAGCTAAAACTGAACACTGTTATGGTTAATGTATGAAGCCAGCATGAGTAGGTAAACCTATCAGAATATAGTATAATTTATGTCTTTATCAGCCTTCACTATTTTAGTTCCATTTGAATCGCTTGTAATAATGTGAAGGCAAAGAAAATCTATGATTCTCTGATTACAGTTCTCATGAAAACCTATTCTTATTTTGCCAGCTGAACAGCTTTCTTTTGAACTCTGTGTCAATGGCAAGACTTAAATAAAAACGCTTGCATGCTGTGGCATTAGGATATTATACTGTTAAGTAAAGTTGTTAGTCGGCAGGTACCTATAAGATAGCTTCTCTTAATAAGGTGTGTGTGTGTGTGTGTGAGAGAGAGAGAGAGAGGGAGGGAGGGAGGGAGGGAGGGAGGGAGGGAGAGAGAGCGCACCAAATGCTGGCATGCAGTAACTCACTTATGGAAAACAAAAAAGATTTTCAGTTAGTAATTTCTTCTGATTACTCTCTTCTCTCTTTCTCTCTCTCCTCTCTCCCCTTCCCCCTCTCCCTCCCCCCTTCCCTTCCCCCCTCTCTGTTTCCCTCCTCTTCCTTCCTCCATTCCTGTCCCCTCCCTTCTTCCCCTTCTTTCCACTCTTCCCTTGCCTTCTGTTGTCCCCTTTTTGGCGATTCTTTTCTTTTCTTTTTTTCAAATGCTAGTATGCCATTAATATGAAGTTCTAGCTTTTAAAGACTAGAGTGCTATAATCAACTTCTCTGCTTGATTTTTAAAATAGCTTTATTTCATAGCCAATTTACAGCTAATGGACTTTTTATTTTGTTTATGATTAGATTAACAGGAAGCTTTGTGCCGGATTTAATCGTTAGCATGAACAATCAGATGTGGCTGCATCTTCAGACTGATGAAAGTGTGGGCTCAGTTGGTTTCAAAGTTAACTACAAAGGTAACTGGAATCCCATTAGAAATTGAACTAAAAAAAGAACACAAATCTTGGCTTTCCTGTGGAAATTATATTAGCATCTGTGTTGTTTAAAATATTATCTATGAATACATAATTAAACAAAATACACATATGTAATTTTTTAAAAAATAAAACACTGTTATAAGTCAATGTGAATTATTGCCTGTAGGGTTTGTTTGTTTGTTTGTTTGTTTGTTTGTTTGTTTGTTTCTTTCTTTCTATCTATCTATCTATCTATCTATCTATCTATCTATCTATCTATCTATCTTTCTTTCTGCAAGTTTTAGCAGCGGGAACTTATCTTAAAATTCCCGATATAATGTTTGATTCTAGGTATCTCAGATGATGAGTATGTAGTTCTTTTGTCTTAAAAGGAATGAAGTCATAGGCATTTTTATGCAGACTCAAAAAGCCACGCTATCAAATCTTTATTTATTTTTCCTTTTAATGAATGATTCAGGAGGGAAGTTACAAGCATTCTTGGAAATGTCTGTTGCTTTTCTACATTTTATATGTTTCTGCATAGAAAAGAGAAGAGAAAGAATCCTCCTGGATTTGTTTCTGAATAGCGGTCTGAGTTATTGATCTTATGCAGTGTACCTGATTAATATTTCTCTTCAGTTGGTTGGTTGTAGAAATGTATCCTGGCAAAAGAATGGAAAAGCTACAAGGCTGGCTAATGACAAAACTGTCAGTAACACAATTCTCTAAGCAAGCAGACTTGAAAACGTGTTCCTGTAGTGAATCAAGGGAACATTACATACACTTGACTCCAGTCATTCTTTAAAAGAAGAATACTTTTTGTGTTTGAGTTTCTGTGCTATTCTTGTATCATTGTAACGAAAACTAGAATTTGGCAAGTTCCCCCCTTTTTTCTCCCTGGGGAGCAGAAAGTAAAATTGCTAGATCCCTATATAAATATGCTTAGTGCTGAGGTGGCGCAGTGGTTAGAGTGCAGTACTTCAGGCTACTTCTGCTATCTGCCGGCTGCCTGCAATTTGGCAGTTCAAATCTCAGCAGGCTCAAGGTTGACTCAGCATTCCATCCTTCCAAGGTTGGTAAAATGAGGATCCCAATGGTTGGGGGCAATATGCTGACTCTGTAAACTACTTAGAGAGAGTTGTAAAGCACAGTAAGGTCGTATATAAGTCTAAGTGGACCAAGATAAAGAGCCTTGGTGGCACAGCGGACTAAAGTGCTGTTAAGTAGCACCAGCTGCCTGCAATTACTGCAAGTTCAAATCTCACCAGGCTCAAGGTTGACGCAGCCTTCCATCCTTTCGAGGTAGGTAAAATGAGGACCCAGTTTGTGGGGGCAATAAGCTGACTTTGTATAAAAAAGAACACCGCTTAGGGAGGGCCAAAAGCCCTATTAAGCAGGTATATACAAAAGTATGAAGGCTATTGGTTAATGCATTGTAAGCCGCTCTGAGTCTCCAGAGAAGGGCGGCATATAAATTGAACCAATAAATAAATAAATAAATAAATAAGTGCTATTGCTATTGCTATAGTGTTTATTATAAAAAATATTTACGATAAATCAATTTCATATTTCTATAGTCTATTGGGGTCCTTTTATTCTTTGAGTTTGCATACTGAAGAATGTTCTAGCTTCTGAAACTGGGGTCAAAGGTGCCAGTTTGGTTTAGTAGAAATACAGCCCTCTGAGAAATAGACAGTCCTATTATTATCTTAATTCCCAAACACCTTAGAATACCTTGGATAGCCATGAAAACAAAGTAATGAGAAAAAAAATGCATCATAGATCAACCTAGAGTTTTCACATGAGTCTCAAATGTCCAGGCTCATATTATCCTACATTAGCACTATTAGTAAAGACTGTTATAGCATTCTAGAGAAAACAGTAATTCTGGGAAAGATGGAATAAAGAGAAGAAGCAGACAACCATCAGCAAAATGGTCTCAGTTACAGTATGGAGGGGTCACTGTTGGAGATTGAATGATCAGATTGAAAGCAGATCATTCTAGGGAAAATCTATGTCGTTGCTAAGTGTTGATACTGAGTTAATGACTTTGACATCATCAAGATGCAATTTTATTGCTTTGGATTAGTTTTGATGGTCCTGAATTGTTTTTTTTTCTATTTGTTTATATTAAATTGATTGTTATGGTCATCAAACTGAAAACCATGACACTATGTGTCTAACATGATACCACAAAGTACAAACCAAACACTATAAAAACAACAACCAGAACAAAATGTACTTCATATGGAAATTACGGAAACTAGCAACCAACCTATCTGGACTCAACTAACTTCACAACTTCCATGCCTGAGAATGCACTTATGCTGCAGCAAGTCATTCCAGAAAAAGCAATATCTGCTTTAAGATATTGCATACAGATGTTATAAAGATATTGAACAGTTAAAATAGCTAATCAAAATTTTATGGGGGAAGATAATATATGCTGCCACTATACAAATAACTACATGGAAAATATTATTTTCAAAGATCTTTACTGGAAGTAGATTGGTTTGGTGAAATTTCCATTTTGTTAATGGTGAACTTGGAGAATTACTTTTTAAAATAATTCTGAGGTAATACCAGGTGTTGTCTTACAATTTTATTTTTCTATGTAAAGTCAACATGTAATATTATTTATATCATCTCATCTGTTTGAGAGACTCCCTGGAACAGATTGGAAGAAGGCAGAGGGGACCAATTTATATGGAACTGAAATGAGATTGAATGTACCAAAATAATAGAGGAGTTTAATAGCACGCATAGCTAGCGCTATTTATTTTTACTCAATAACAATGTTTTATAATACACTCCAGAATGAGATTTATGAAACTATCTCATCAGAGAACAAACATGTTCCCTAAATTTGATTTGAGACTTTTTAATAATCTAAGTATCATGGATTGTAACATGCTTGCTTTTCACTGCACAGATGTATAACTCAATTCATACAGATGCTATTTTTATTGGAAATATCCAATGGTGTCATTATATAATCAAGCTAGGTTATTGGAATATATTCTTAGTTAATATATTACTTGGGTCTATATTCCATGGCATTTGTGAATGTATTTTGTAAATAGATGCCTAGGGCATGTTTAATTATTCATAAAATTGATTATTTAATTAATGTTCTACAAAGGAGATTTGAATATGTCACTTTCCACTTTATTTCACAGCTTTTTTATGAAGTTACAAAACAGTGTAACAGATATAATTTTATAGTTAGAAAAAATGCTCGTAATAAAAGGACAAATATACATATACTGTAACTTTCTGATCTTCCTGTGCTGAGGATAGCTCTGAATTTTAAATACCATACTAAAAAGAATATGCATGTTGTAATTAGACTACCACCTGCAAAATAGTTATATTATTACTAATCACAATCTTACATTTTTTTTAAAAAAAAAATCTGTACAATTTAATGTACACTGAGAAAAGGATGAAAGCATTGTTACAAATAGGAGGCAAAATAAAACAAAAATAATGTCATATATTATGGTGATGACAAATAGAGAACTGGAATTATGTCAGCAAATGTCAACAAGACTGCTACACAAATGGGATCCTAAAATATTATAGTGATTCTGCTTGTATTATAAACCACTGTTAAAATATCCGATACAGAATGAGTTCCCACCACCGAAGGGAAAAAGAGTGAATATTAGCTTAATATTTTGAACTCAGTTTTAATTATTTTGACACGACTCAGAAACAGAAAACAACTAATGATCCACAATTAATTAATTTATTTACCTACCTAAGACTAATTTAAATGTTATAGATTTTTTCTTGTTGTTAGTTGCGAAGTTGTGTCTGACCCATCACGACCCCATGGACAATGTTCCTTCAGGCCTTCCTGTCCTCTACCATCCTCTGGAGTCCATTTAAGATCACGCCTACTGCTTCAGTGACTCCATCCAGCCACCTCATTCTCTGTTGTCCCTTTCTTCTTTTGCCTTCACTCTTTCCCAGCATTAGGCTCTTCTCCAGCAAGTTCTTCCTTCTCATTAGGTGGCCAAAATATTTGAGTTTCATCTTCAGGATCTGCCTCTCTAAAGAGCAGTCAAGGTTGATCTCCTCTAGGACTGACCAGTTTGATCGCCTTGCAGTCCAAGGGACTCATAGGAGTCTTCTCCAGCACCATAGTTCAAAGGCCTCAATTCTTTGGCGCTCAGCCTTTCTTATGGTCCAACTTTCACAGCCATACATTGAACTGGGAAAACCATAGCCTTGGCATAAGATTTCTGTATGCGTGTAAAATTTGTCTCCAGATGGTTTCTTTCTTTCTTTCTTTCTTTCTTTCTTTCTTTCTTTCTTTCTTTCTTTCTTTCTTTCTTTCTTTCTTTCTTTTTCTTTCTTTCTTTCTTTCTTTCCTTCTTTCCTTTCTTCCTTCCTTCCTTCCTTCCTTCCTTCCTTCCTTCCTTCCCCTTCCCCTTCCCCTTCCCCTTCCCCTTCTCCTTCTCCCTTTTTCTGCCTCCCTTCCTTCCTCCCTCTCTTTAATTGTTTTTGGAGAATTATGAATTGTTCCTTTGGAATATACAGGTCTAGCCATTCTGGGATGGTCCACCAGTCCACTACAAAAAATCTTCTGGAAATGGAAGTTCCACATGTCTTGGGACTTTTTCAGCATAAATTTATATGATTAGAAGAAAAAAAATGAATGGTTTGGATTTTCATGGAATATTGCATCTCTGGGATAGAATATTCTGCCCATTAATAGAGGGACAGAATACATATCAACACAAGGTCATGTGTTGAAGCTGAATTTGAATTGGACATGGGACAAATTGTTTTAGATCGGTTCTGCTATAGAGTACAATAAATCCTAGGCAACCTGGATCATAGAGGCTCTTTGGTAACTTCATCATGTCCTTTTCTATTTAATAATTTCTATGCTATCATTCAGTTGCTTCATCAAAGACTGTGGTTTGATTAGTACTTTTAGTTCTATGTCATGATGGTGGATTATCAGCCATTGGTCTGGCTTTTTGATG